ACTATTAGCGATTTTAGCGATTGAATTTTCGTCATCATTACTAAAGTCTGTACGATAAAAAACATAGTCTCGATTATCCATTTTATGATTAAATCAAGAATGAAAATGGAGCAGCAAATCTGATCGTAATCCAATAAATATCACAGGCTGGCGTTGACATCCAGAGTTTATTATGGTCTGGATAGGTTAATTAATGTCTAATTAATAATTTAGATAACATTTCAGGCCTAAAGACATAGTTAGCTCTTGCATAATGTATTTTATATAATGATATGCTTTGTACCGAAATTGTGAATACCGGGTCTGCATGTGGGTGGAAAGGGGATTTTCGGACCAAAGGCATAGTATCGTCGCACTAATTGCCATAGAAATGTGTGCATGTTCTGCTAATGACTAAACATAAAGTTTGCCAATTAGGGTGTAGCTTAATGAATAGATTAAATGTATATTAAATGTACAAGTTTGGTTAAACTATGGAGAGTTTGTATGTAATGGTTATAGCTCTAAGGAATAAAGCTGTCTAGTTAGCTGGGATCATGATAGATGACTCTCCATAACCGGAAGATCATCATCACGTTTCAGCTAATCCAGCGACAATTAAAAGGCCACGGTTGTAGACGAAATATAAACTAAAACTAGACGTAAGTAATTACCAAATGTATCATTAATTTATCTTTGTATAATTTAGATGGAGGGGGGGGGGTAGAGTACAGTACCTTCATATGTGTATTATTTAGACTGGGGGAGGGGGGGGGTAAAATGTCCTTCTTTATATTTAGACCTTTTCCGTTTATTTATCTGTGTACAGTACAATTTAGATGGGGAGGAGGATAGAGTAAAGTACCTTTCATATGTGTATTATTTAGACTGGGGGGGGGGGGTGTAAAGTGCCATTCCTGTGTTTTTTATTTAAGACATTTTCCGTTTATTTATCTGTGTGTACAATTTAGATGGTGAGGGGATAGAGTACAGTATCTTCCTATCAGTATTATTTAGTGAACTGGATGGGGGAGAGGGAGTACAGTGCCATTCATATGGGTTGTTTTTATTAAGACTTTATCCGTCAATTTATCTTGCTATAATTTAGATTGAGAGGGTGGGGGAGTACATGTTTATTATTTAGTAGAGTAGACTGGGTGGTTGAGGGAGTACAGTGTCATTCCTACTTGAATTATTTAGACTGAGATAGAGCAGAGTACCTTCCTGCGTGTAGTATCGAAACTGGCAATGGAAGGTGCAGCACCTTTCCTGCTTGTATTATGTAGATTGGGAGTGGAGGGTACAGTACCATTCGTATGTACAGTATAATTCCTGTTCCTATGTGTATTGTTTAGATTGGGAGGTGGGTTTGGGTGGATTGGGTACAGTACCTTTCCAATGGGTATTTTTTTAGACGGGGGGGGGGGGGGTGAAGGGTGCGGTGCTATTCCTGTGTGTAGACTGGGCATGTGTATTATCTGGACTGGGATGTGAGGGGGAGCAGTTCCTTACCCATTTGTATTACCTGGACTTGGATGGGAGGGGGAACAGTTCCTTTCCCATGGGCATTACCTGGACTTGGACGGGGGGGGGGGGGAACAGTTCCTTTCCCATGGATATCACCTGGACTGGGATGAGAGGGGGAACAGTTCCTTTCCTATGTGTTTTATATGGACTGGAATGGGAGGGGGGACAGTTCCTTTCCTATGTGTTTTACATGGACTAGGATGGGAGGGTGAACAGTTCCTTTCTTATGTGTATTATATGGACTAGAATGGGAACAGTTCCTTTCCCATGGGCATTACCTGGAATTGGACGGGGGGGGGGACAGTTCTTTTCCCATGGATATCACCTGGACTGGGATGAGAGGGGGAACAGTTCCTTTCCTATGTGTATCACCTGGACTGGGATGAGAGGGGGAACAGTTCCTTTCCTATGTGTTTTATATGGACTGCAATGGGAGGGGGGACAGTTCCTTTCCTATGTGTATCATCTGGACTAGGATGGGGGGGGGGGCAGTTCCTTTCCTATGTGTATTACATGGACTAGGATGGGAGGGTGAACGGTTCCTTTCTTATGTGTATTATATGGACTGGAATGGGAGGGGGAACAGTTCCTTTCCTAGGTGTATCATCTGGACTAGGATGAGAGGTGGAACAGTTCCTTTCCCATGGGTATTACCTGGACTGGGAGGGGGAACAGTTCCTTTCCTATGTGTATCATCTGGACTAGGATGGGAGGGGGAATAGTTCCTTACCTATGTGTATTATATGGACTGGAATGGGGGGGGGGCAGTTCCTTTCCTATGTATCATCTGGACTAGGATGAGAGGTGGAACAGTTCCTTTCCTATGTGTATTATCTGGAGGGGGACAGTTCCTTTCCTAGGTGTATCATCTGGTCTAGGATGGGAGGGGGAACAGTTCCTTTCCTATGTGTATTATCTGGACTTGGATGAGAGGTGGAACAGTAACTATTCCTGTGTGTAAACTGGACATGTGTAGTATCTGGACTGGGATGGGAGGGGGAACAGTTCCTTTCCTATATGTATTACCTGCCTATGTATATGAAAAAAGGGGAGATGGGGCAGTAGAGTACAGTACCTGGGTATTAATTAGACTGGGAGGGCGGGGGGCGTTAGAGTTTAGTACCCGTGTGTATTATTTATACGAGGGGTGAGGGGATAGAGTACAGTACCTGTGTGTACTAGGGTTAGACTGAGTGGGTATAGGGTAAAGTACAGTACCTATGTGTATTATTTGTACTGGGAGGAGGTGGGGGTAGAGTACTGTACAGTATGTGTATTATTCATATGTGTTTTGTTATTAAGATTGGGGTGGGGGAAGGTGGAAGAGGACGGTACAGTACCTGTTTTATTTCCATAAATGACAGACTGTACTGCGGGGAAGTCTATTTTATTCCAATTGTAGAAGGAGGGATGGGGTGGGCGTGGGGCTTTCTGCATGGTCTAATGGTGCGCGTTGCATCATACGATCTGTCCTTAAGTCGAGTTGTGTTGTGTCGATCCCACACCTGTACGCAACGAGGATCGCCTGCTGACGACCCATAAGCCTAAATTAATTATTGAATTAAAAATAAACTGTTTATTACTCCATAATTAATCTAGTTAATGTTGATCTGAAGTTAAACCCCATCTCTCTCTCTCTTTTTATAAAATATATAAATATATATATATAATTATTTTAATTTGGTAGCTCTGGGCATGTTCTTAAGTCATTACTGTCATGGATGAAATTGATTAAAAAAACACATTGATACCGTAAACACCATTTTGCCGCTTACTGTATTAGGCAAAATAACAAGTAACTGTTTAAAGTTATTTGAAAAAAGAAAAATAGAGTTCGTCGTGGATTATCTTTGTATTTCTTTTGTGGAGTTGGGTGTGGATTGGGTAGACATTTAACTAAAGGTACTAATAAACTAATAGTTCGATAACTTAATGTAACTTTATATTGTCAACAAGTAACCATTCGAAATGTTAATTAAAGAGTAGCCTTTCCTACACTTACGGTCTCGAAACTCGCGGCGTGAACTTCCGTTCGAAAACTGTTTCGGGTTACAGGCCACCCGAAACGCCCACTGGAATTCCTTTCTTAGTCAATTAATATACATAAACTGTTAAAATGGGCACATCCGTCCGTCCGTCACACTTTATGGGACACAATAACTCTGCTTATAGTTTCATTTACATCAATACCATAACCAAGTTTGATCATGAGCATCAATGGCGGATCCAGAGACCATGGATAGGGGCACAGAAGGCGCGAAGCGCACGACGGGGATTCCGGATGGCCTCGCCCGGACGATTTGAGGCAGGATTCCGGTTCTAAAGTGCGCTCCCCAACCCACCCTCCCATCCCCACTTAATCTGCCCTTGAGCATATTCCCCCAATGCTGTTTGATTGGGGTGGGGGAAACTGTTCTTATGCCAATGTCGGACCCGAACTACTGGACAAAATGGCCGCTCCTCGAACGCAAATAGTGTAAATATATAGTATATCAAGGTTGCGGATCCTCTAGAGGCCACAATTTTGATCCGATTTTGATGAATCTTAAAATTTATGTTTATATCACACAAATCCTGGTTCCGGTCGATAATCGCGTATATCCGAACGTAACTACCTGGGTGATGGACCTGACTGTTCGACAAATCGCATTTTTAGCTTTTGGAGCCGCTAGAAGTCACAATTTAAATTCAATTTAAAAAACGTTTAAATAAATCACCGTTACCCATCACTGAAGGTTGATTTGGAATACAGTAAAAATCTGACATAAACTTCCGGACAAAATGCCCGTTCCTTGGATCGACGATTTGGGCTACATAATAAACATGGGTATTTTTTATTGGTAAGGGGGTGGGGGTACATTCAACGTATTTTTATTCTTTTATTCGGGGGGGGGGGGGTATTCAAAATGTTAAACTGTATTGCGTTACATTTACATATAAATCAGGATAGTGCATGTGGGCATACTCCATGCAATATACTATGCTGAATGCTGATAATTTAATCTATTAACTTCCCTAAAAGAAGAAAATCACGGTGGCTAAGTGGGTAAAATGGTGGCCCGCTCTCTTGGAGGTCGGGTGTTCGATCCCTGCATTGGCCGAGAAAGTTCATCCAGATTTTCCGGCGTGATTTCCCCTTGTCAGTGATGCAGGACAAAGGGCCTGACAAGGACAGCTGTCTAGTCGTAAAAGATTCCTTGGCAGTTGGAATTCGATATAAGAGTAGGCCGTAGCGCCGCTGCCCTGGCAAAATTTCCCTCATAGCCCGTCTTCATCGGCCCAGTTTAGGAGCAGAACAGTATGACGTTGAACCCCATTTCATTTCATTTCCCTGAACTAAGCTTCATGGCCGACTCTATTTCCTTTACCGAATGTCGGGGGATCTTTAGCCTTTAGCACATAACTGTATAGTAGTCATATTGAATACAGGTATTTATATTATCAATTGTTAATTAGAATAATATGTCTTATTTGCCTTTTTTTCAGAAAATGGATGTTCCCATTTTTCAAATAGCATTGGTGATTTGCTCTTTACTGTCCATCTCTGATCCCCAGATACCAGGCATGAGTCTTGCCCCACCCCGTATTGGCGAGGCTATTGAACTAGCCAACCATCTTGTCCGGCTTCCCTGGCGTCGTCCCAGTATCAGAAAGGAATGCCGACTCCTTACCAGCACTGAATTACAAAGGATATTCGACGCTCTTCAAGCAGCAAAACGAGACACGGTAATAAAACAAAATATTTTACTGAATCTATTATGGTGTCTGAGAGAATATGGAATCTTTTTTTTGTGTGTTGACTTAATATGGAATCCATTTTTAGATTTACTATATATATTGTTCTCGTGAATACGGAGTCCATTTTAGGATTCAATATTGCTGTGGGAATGGTTTTAATGGATTGGTTAACCTAGATATTGGCAACAAAATCATAGTTCTATCATGTTTATCTCAAACGGTATGACAGTGTAAATTATTCGATGGCTATTTTCCCGCCATCTTATTTTTCACAATGGGTACAGACACCACAATTGCCCCCTAACAAAATCAATGCACCCAGGACCTCCCAAGGTTGATTGATTAAATCAAGCGACCATTCCCGAACGGCTCCTTCTATGCAATTGGCTATATTATCGTATTTTGACGTTTGTTTAAATCCTTTTAAGAAAATTTTGGAAAATTTGACGGTCATAAACGCGTTTTTTCTTCTATTCTACCTCGTGAATAGAGCAACTTCAAAGAGGTCTAATATAGCCTAATTAAGATAGCTGACTCGAATTCCAGGAAACCAATCAATCGTTTACAGTCCACGGAGACGAGACCGTGGGGAGAAAATTTAACTGCAGCAACTCGTTTTCTTGCTATTCCAACTCGTGGATACAGCAACTTCAATGTGGTCCAATATAGCCTACCTTAAGTGGCTGACCCGAATCTCAAACAACTAAACAATGGTCGCGGGCTATGGGAACCTCGCCCTCCCAGAGAAAACTTAACGGACGCAAATGCGTTTTTCTACTATACTAGCCAGTGACTTAAGCTACTCCAAAGTTGCCCAAAGGTTTTGTAACCGAAATCCCACTCGACGCCGACCTTAATTCCAACCATCCAATTGTATCCACAAAAAAATAATCGATGCCCGAAAAATGTCGCACAAAGTAGAGTGGCCCCAGACAAAATGTTTTAATCCATAGTCAATTCAGTACAAATTCGTGGTATTATTTATAAGAAAAGTAAATTTAGTGTTTTATTACACTTCTGGCACTTTAATTTGCCAACTAAATGAAATATTAATTTCTTTTTTCACTTTACCCGTCTGCCCGAAAAGTCAAATTGCCCGAACGTTGGGGGGGGGGGGGGGGGCAGGCTTACCCCTATGCCTATTATTTAGAAATCTGTTCATATGTGAAAACCAATATACTTTCAGAGAGTACGTCCTAATGTCTTAGATGCCTTTGCTTTTCTTCACTCTCATCCAGAGATCAACGAAGGTGCTCATGGCGGAACTGCCTTCCTTCCATTCCATAGATATTATCTTCATCTGTAAGTATATTACACTCTCCTTTAAAGGTCACAATGAGATAGGGGTGAACGGGAGGATGTTAAAACACATATACTAAACGACTATCCAGAAGTAATTCACAAACGACAAAATAATAATTTGAAAGTCGTGTAGAATAGTTAAGCAGGCGTAAACGACTGTCGTTCACGTTGGGCTGCTCACGTATTTTCTCAAACATAATTGATTAGACATTACAATAAAAAAAATAATTAAAAATTGAATATAAATCACTTTATATACATCGACATGTGCTTTTATATCCTTTTGAGGATACTTAAGGTTCCAACAAATAGAGTTATATATAGACCCATTTAATTGAGTGAGGTTTCTGACTATATGCTGTTGATTGTAGGTATGAGAAGATGTTGCGCATGTATGAGCCTACTGTCAGTTTATGTTTCTGGGATACCACCTTAGAGCCAGAGAACTACGAAGAATCGGCTATGTGGACTGCTGATATATTCGGTAGTCCCCGTGGACTTATCACAGAAGGTTTTGCTGCCAACTGGCTGACACCTTTGGGCCCTTTGATACGTGAAGTTGCCGGCGCGAGAGGAAGAACTTTAAATGACAGAGATATAGAAGAAGTTCTGCGCCAAACCAGAATAGGAGAAATATCATTTCCGAACGGTATAACGTCTGCCAACGTCGAGGAATTACATAATCATGTACATTTGGTTGTCGGTGGTCTAATGTCTCAAATTGAATCTGCTTCTTACGATCCTATCTTTTGGTTTCACCACACGTATGTCGATTGTTTGTATGAACGATTTAGGAAGAAGCAAAATGAAACCGGAAAAATAAATCCCCAACGTGACTGGCCACGTGATTTTGGTGATCCATCGAACGCTCCCTTTGTACCGATGCGATTGGGTGCGATGATGAATATTGATGGCGCCAATAATATCTTCAGCGGTATGATAACTTGTGAGGATGTACCGGAATGTCGAACTGATCGCGATTGTGGTCGTTTCATGAATTGTGACAGGATACGTCAACGCTGCATTTCAAATACCAGGAGAAATTCACAATCTGCATCCATGTTCGGTGGAATGTTTGGAATGAGCACAAATTCATTCGGTGGCATGTTCCAAAATGGTTTATTTTCTTCACAGGGTAGCGGTGGCTTTCCAGGTTTCAATCCAATGAGCTTCAATAATAACGGTAACCAAGCTTTTGGTCAAATGAACAACTTCGGAAATACCCAGGGAGGTTTCCCAGGTGGACCATCAAATATGCAGCCAGGGTTAATGGGCAATCAAAATCAAAATTTTGGAGGACCACCTCAACAATTTCAAGGGATGCAAGGATTCCCTGGAGCAGGTAATCAAGGACAACAGAACATGCCACAATTCCCAGGAATGCCAGGATCCAACAATATGCAATCTTTCCCCGGAATGGCCAACTTCGGAGGGATGATGCCGGGAATGCCTAATATGGGAGGAGGCGGAATGCCTAATATGGGAGGAGGCGGAATGCCGAACTTCGGAGGAGGAATGCCTAACTTTGGAGGGGGTGGAATGCCTAACTTTGGAAACCAGGGTGTTCAAGGTCCAATGGGATTCGGACGCGGAATGCCTAACTTCGGAGGAGCTGGGGGTACACAGAACCAAAATCCAGGAATGAATATGGGTCCTGGGGGACCACCAAGCGGTTTTAATTTCGGAAAATAAGACTTTTCTTAAACATAATATATCATTGGACATTTGTATTAAACTCAAAATATCAGTATCGTTTGAAATAGAATAATTCTGTTCTTGAAGAAATGGAGGGTAAAGTAACGGCGGTTGCATCATAATTATACATGAATCGTTGTATTAGATAAATAAAATGATGGAATAAGTACGTGATTGCAGAACGTACAACCATTTACGCTTTCGTGTGAAAATAAAATGTTTCTCAATTATATTATTCATTCTTGACTTATGTTTTAAAAAACCAAACCCAGGATTAGTAAAAAGAAGATTGATAATTTTATTTAATTCATAATTTTTTATGAAAAAAAATAATTATAACAAAAGTGTTTATTTCATTTCATTTAATTTAATTTATGTTATGCTAATCAAAAAGAAAAATATAATTATATTATTCTTTATGCGAGATATGGTATTCATATTAATATTACATGTATATTTAAATATATAAATAAAGATCTTGATTTGATTGATGTATCTGTATTTTTCAAACCTGTTTGTCCTCGCCATTCCATTTTATGAATCTTTCACCATGGAATATTTTGAGACAAAGCAGGGAGAGAGAGATGGGTTTAACGACCACTCGACATAAACTAGGCCATTTCGGGATTAACATATGGTTCAAATTCATTTCAAAAATTCGCTTGTGTAGGGGTCTTTAGCAGTGGGAGGAAACAGGACCCGACAGGCGACCTTACTCCTTGCCACGTACAACCGGGATATCGAAACCACGCCATTTTAATCACGCGCACGCGCTTACCATTCGGCCATCCAAACCCCAGAGACAAAGCAGAGTGGAGTTTTCGCATTGTTTGTCTGCGCATGCCATTATTTAGCATGGCGTAATAGAATACTTTACGTGACGTGATTTGTAATAACAAAATGAACCTAGATCTACGAAGCACCTCTGCCGGTTTGCACGCGTGTCCTCTTAACATTTGAACTTTGTATTTACTAAATGGAATGAAGTGAAATGGGGTTTAACGTTCTGTTGCTTTGCACCGAGTGGTCTCTGGTAAGCGGGCGTACATAATACAGTGTGCTACGGTCTACTCTTATTTCTAATTCCGACCATCAGGGGTTCCTTTATGTGTACGCAATGCACAGAACCTCGACTTTTCGTACCACTCAAACGAATAAGCATTGTTCTTGTCAGGTCCTCTTGGTAAGTGAGCACATTAGTCATTGAGCCAATAATCTTGAAATCAAAATCGGATCAAGCTCAATTTAATTAACTGTTACACATTGCAAGGTTTGCAGGCGTTTGAAAGGGTTGGACTTCTCTATTTCTGTTCCTGCAACATTCATAATTTATCCGATCATCTTGTAAGGTGTGAGGAAATTATATTCTACCAGGGCCTTGTTTCTCGAAATCTTAACTAAAGATAAAATCCAAATTTTAGTGGGTACTTCAATTTTGATTGGCTAAGCACTAAAATCAAACTAATATTATCCAATCAAATTACTAAAATTTGGATTTTATCTTAGTTAAAATTTCGTGAAACAGGCCCTTGATCTTATTTCACGGTATATTCACTGAGTTGTTATGTTCCAAAGTCTTGACCAATCGCGAATTAGCCTAAGCAGAAAATTATCATTATTAAACGTAGTCAAGGTAATGAATCTATACTCTGGGTTTCATCGCTCACACAATTAGAAGCAAAGTAATCATGTTCAAAAGCCTAAACCAATCAAATTGCTTATTTCTCCTTAGCCTTATTCCGACATTCCATATATCATGTTACATATTAGTGAAAAGCACGTTCATGTAAGTATGTAAATAGTTTTCTAGTACAATCGTATTTTCATAATTCAAATCCAATAAATATCAGATATCGAGAGTTGATTATGGTCTGGTGGATTAGTTAATATGCCTGGGGGGTGGGGGGTATTCAATGTCAAAATACGAGTCTTGAGTTGATAGACAAAAATCCAAAATGTTACCTATAATAATTGCTCTTTTCAAAAATGTAAATAATTTTCTGGCACATTCATACTCCCTGAAAAACGACCAAAGTTGGATGGAACTAAAATCTATTGCCATGATTGCGGAAGGGTGGGGGTATTCAATGTTAAAATAAGGGTCTTAATCCGAAATTCTCGATACCATGCTACCTATCACTAAAAGCACGCCCATTGCTGCTTAAAAATATGTAAATAATTTACTGGCACATTCAGATTAGCATACCTTGAAAAACATCGAGTGGTACGAAACACTATTAAAGGGGTATCCAAGTAAAAGTACTGGTCTAAATACGAAATTCCAGATACCATGTTACGTATCACCGATTGCTCTTTTCAAATATGCAAATATCTTTTTTGGGACATTCATATTTGAATAACGTTACAAAATAAGATTAAAGTTGAAGTGACGGAAAGATTATGGGCGGGGGGGGGGCAAAACTAAACCAAAGATACGGGGCTTAATCAAAGATTCTCTATTAGTAATAGCATGACGACCGCATTACACGCAAAACAAAAATCTACAAGATAAACCTGCGGACAAGACAGAAAATAGACATTGCACCAAATAAACAAATATAAAATCAAGTGAATGGATCCGGGGGTCAGCCGCAAGCGTCCACAGACTTCACTCGAATCTGAAAACAATCAGAAATACAAAAAAGACGCAACAGAAACAATGCGACCAATCTTGACAGTGGTCGTCTCCTGAATGGCGATAGTCTGCCAGTTGACGTCATGAGGTTAGAACGTCAAACAATTTTAACAATAAGGGCGATAATCCGGATAGAGTCTCAGAAAACGCTAAAATAATATATAAATGTAGTGAGCAAACAGGAGCATAACCCGACAACGAGAACATTCTACAGTACGAAGGGTTAAAACTCTACTTAGTCTATACTAAAAAAATGTATAGTCATTCCTCTCTTTAAATATATTAAATAAAAAGTGTAGTGAGCAAACAGGAGCATAACCCGACAACGAGAACATTCTACAGTACGAAGGGTTAAAACTCTACTTAGTCTATATTAAAAAGTGGCTAAGTGGCTAAGACGCTGGCTCGAGCTGGGCTGGAGGTCGGGTGTTCGATCCCTGCATTGGCCGAGAAAGTTCATTCAGATTTTCCGGCGTGATTCTCCCTTGTCAGTGATGCAGGACGGAGGGGCTGACAAGGAAAGCTGTCTAGTCTTTCGGATGGGACGAAAAACCGAGGTCCCGTGTACACATTGGCGTGCATGTAAAAGAAAGCTTGACAGTTGGAATTCGATATAAGAGTAGGCCGTAGTGCCGCTGTCCGGGCAAAATTTCCCTCATAGCACACTGTATGGCGTATGCCCGTCTTCATTAGCCCAGTTCGGAGCAAAACAGTAGGACGTTAAACCCCATTTCATTTCATTTCATTCCTATATTAAAAAAAATGTGTAGTCATTCCTTTCTTTAAATATATTATTGTTTTGTTTTAATGAAACAAAGTTAATTAGGCTGTACTCAACTCTGTTTATAGAAAGACCGTCCAGTTATTGTGTTATAAATTACTGGAAAGTATGTTTCTTCCCTCTTTGAATCTATCAATTATTTCCGGACACATTCAGGATTACGCACGGTCGTCTAGATAGTTTCTTATAGTGTGCCAGCTTGATTTAATGTTATCGTGAGGTGAATATCCTTGTAGTGTGCTGGTTTATAGTATGCCCGATTTCCTTAAATGTTAACAAGTCACGTGATATCATACGTTTGCATTGTACTTTTTACATATATTATCAATGGAAACGACATTGTCGCAGAGCATATAATATTCGCAGCGATAACCTTCCCTTCAAACGTGCATGAAAAACGTCATTTTTGTCAAGGGGAGCATGTTGAAGAATAACGACGACTGGTTTAATACTCTGGATTCAAGGCACCCGTCCTCTATTATCCGGATTTGAAAGAAATGGCAATGTCTGCCAGTCCCTTCATTGTTAATGACTCCTAGCTGTAGAAGCCATTCCACAAAGCACAAGATCCGGATAAACGGTACTAAAATCGATGGTTACCTTAAACGTAACCAGGAAGGCTGTGAACATCGTATATTTTATTTATTGAGTGCATCCTTGATGATGCGCAAACTAAACACAATCATGAAAAACTATGCCACTCACCTGCTGCCAACTCTCCTACAAAGAGATATCAATAAACCCCTGCGTATGGATCTCTCCAGAGGCCTACTGGACAGGTAGGGACTCGCCTACCCTGCCCTCATAAATGCAAAACAAAGAAACCGAAATGGTTCATAACGGTGGAATCCGATGAGATTTCCTACCAGGGTACAAGGGTGTGTATGTGGCTATGGACTCTCCCTTCCAACAATCTGCCCTCTCTTCTGAAAAAATTCCCTCAATTTTCGAAAGAGGTACCTCCAATTTCTCAAGGAAATTCCCGCTACCCTTCCCTTGTTCCAACCAAATCCAGAGATACTCAAAACCAATCATGCACCATCTATCAATGGTCCTTTTTTGTTGGCTCTAAAGCGACGGTTTGATGGTGGCAGGTGTTCAATGTTCTCTGATTTTAAGTTCGATTTTTAAACTTTTGCAGTTTGAAACAATTTATAATCACAATTCCGCATTTAGCTCCGTATTAAACTTGGCAGGGTCGACTTTGTAGCTCTGGATCCTCGGACCAACTGGTTTTGTTGGGGCCCCATTGCGGTGAAGATTGGGTGACGTGGCGAGAAAACGAGACTAGTTTGATTGCAATTTCTATATCTCACTCACAGATCATTTGTCTCCTCGCTTAGATGCCACTGAGGCCTGCGGACCAACTGCTTTCGTTGGGCCCCTATCACGGTGAAGATGGGCTCCCGCACCAAGACTGACGGGCCAAGTCCGACGCTGAAAACTGTACCTGTACATCATTAGAGCAACTTGTCCTGGACTAAAATGTGTCCAGAGTTTTTGACAAATCGACGCGGGCTAATATTTATAGAGAGGTTTTAAATTTTATTTCGAGATCCAACATCAAATTCATTTCCACCAGAACCAGATTGAGCGGGATGCTGACCGAGCTGTCTGTGTGTGTGTTCTAATGTGCTAAATAAATCTACTAACATATTGACATACAAATTGCTTACCAGAAATGTCCAATGTAATCTCAACCCGGCTTCCTAATTAAAATTCACAACTGGATTAATATTTCCATAATATTCAGAATCAATTAATCTCCCTTAGTTTTATTTATTTAGCTAAATGAATTTAGGAAAATGAGAATAACAATTGCAACGCTACCGCTGCAATATATGTGCACATTCCTGCTTTGAAAAAGTATTTTTTCAAATGAGAATAAAATATGAAATGGTAGCAACGACTGTAATATGACAAAGAGGCAACGAAGGCTAGGTGTTTGGGTTGTTTTGCCAAAATTTACAGACAAATTAACAAAACATGGGCGTGACACCGCCCAATGGGGTCGGGACATGCACCAAAATAAATAGTTGCTGGCTTTACGATATAAGAAAATGAAATGGGGTTTAAAGTCCTACTTTATATGGAACAGTATAAATAGGTACAGCCCTGTTATTGAAACGATTGATATTGAGTTAACAACCTTAGCAATTCATCAATAACGACGTAAATTCGTGATCATTAACTACCTTCGGGAGCCCTGAAACTACCATACTCCTGTTCAGCCCTTTACTAAAAAGGGAGGGGAAAGATAGAATGTTAAAACGTGTTGCAAATTTCTGCATTAATTAATCATCAGTAGAAATGCGCTATGTAAAATGATAAATCGTGTATTATTTTACAGGTACAAAAACAAAAAAAAGATATATTTCCGTTTTAACCAATAAACAATTGTAATTTCATGCAGAAAGATATGGTGTTAAAACGTGTTGCAAATTTTGGAATTGCATGGTAGGCCTTAAATAATCACATAAATTAACACATGGTATTTTGATTGAGTATTTTACAGCAATAAGAACGTTTCCGTTTAATCGAAAATTCCAATAAACAGTTTATTTTTAGTTCGAGTAGAAAGTGCTACAGGTGGTAGATAATATTTAAATGTTGTTTAAATGCGTATTTTCATAAATTATTATGCAGATAGATATTTATATGGAAAGTCCACTTGAATATAAAATACGATTTTATGTGAAATCGGCTTCCTGAATACAATGCATGAATGCAACATAGGAGGCTTATGAAATTTTACATATTTTACAAATTCTCTCTCTCTCTCTCTCTCTCTCTCTCTATATATATATATATATATATATATATATATATATATATATGTTTACTAATTCCAATTGTGGACGCCGGACCGACGTAGCCACGTATGGAGACGACGGCAATATACGACCACATTTCAATGTGGGCGTATAGAAATTGTTTGCATCAGTTTGGGGTGATCAGCCCAATTTGGTGGGCTATATCGCCAGGCTATTTGCCTCACTTCCACCGGTGTTATTATCGATATAAATTTGATTTCTATATCTTTCATAGCTAACCAGCTACACTCGATGACTCCCATCTACAAATTAAGAAAAACGTGACCCCAAAATTTGAAAGTCACACAGAATACATACATTTTTGTCTACAACTTCAATACTTTGAAGGATACGCGCCGACATTAAACCCCTCAGTGTGATAACAAATGACTCTCTCCTGCCAATCATATCCGAGATTTTCATGGTGGGCCCTTAACCCCACGTAGGCACTATATAAGACGTTACATAAACAGCTTTATTTCATAGAAATGGACAGAAAACTAGAGCAGGTAGGATAATGTCGATGGTCATATTTGATGACGTCATAGTGGAATAAACCTATCACGTGATGAGTGTCCACCAAAGTTTACAATACTTCATTCGGAACCCCTTAAACATTGTTTCAAAACAATTCCCCCTACTCCAACTTTCCTACAGAACCATAGTCAGATTCCAGATTAAAAGTGATTGTCTAATAACGGAACTGAGATTACATTGCGATCCTGATACAAAATGATTTTGTATATGATATTTCTTTACTATTATAGAAAGTTAACCATCTTTTAGATGACTGCCCATATAATAATCATATTTATAGGTAGTATATTTTAAAAATAACCCTTTTTATTGTTTTGGTCAACTACGTGTTTATTACTTTATTTTTACAAAACAAGTGTACTTGATACTTTTATCAGCTTTGATGGTGCAAACACAGTTATCCCTAGTTTTACCATCATACTCCAGTGCAAAGTGGTCACCTGGATTCTTGCAGTTTTCATCTTTATCTTCGCATTCTGAAACAAAGAAAATATAGTGTGACTGCCAGGCTTGAATAGGTGTTATTTAGATTGGATTTGAATTTTTGTAAGGAGTGTGTATAATTCAACGCCTTGTACGCGTTTGACTATAACTAGCAAGTGATAATGCAATCCATTTCAGTTTCAATAACAGCGATAAACACTGGGTTAAAAAATGGTGAAAATGTAAGTGTAAAATTTGTGAGTTACTCTAAATACGTATTGATTACATAGTTGTGATAAACAAATAACACATCCAATTTTCTAATAAAAGACAAAATAAAAATAAGTAAAATTTTGCAAACTGTGACTTGCAGGTTTGGGGTAGTCCTCATCAAACAGACCCCTTTGTTATTCTTAGTGTAACCATCGCATAAGTTCTATCAATTCGAGGAAAGACACCCTACGTGTAGCTATTTTTAGTAAAACAAGTGTAGCAAGTTCTTGAAAAGTGAAAAACTCAGACCTGAAGAGAGATCGGTTAAAGGATTAATGCTCAGATGACGACAGGCCTTGTCAATACTTACGGACTTTACTGCGCGTGAATACGCCATTATTGCAGGAATATGTTATGCATGGCCCATAGGTGTCTACAGTATGTTTTGTTCCATCTGCATAGGATAAACCTTCAAACTGACAGTCAACTGTAAAATAAATGGACATATCTTCATCCGGGGCCAGTATAAAATTGTGAATATCACCGATTTAGCCACAAAAGCCGATAACACCTGATATCACTTGTCAGTTGCAGTATTCACATAGCCAATATATCTGTGGTGTATGCTTATACAAATTATCCCCTTGTCAGTGGTGCAGAACGGAGGGCCCGGCAAGGACAGCTGCCTAGTCCTTCGGATGAGACGAAAATCCGAGGTCCCGTGTATACATTGGAATGCACGTAAAAGATCCCCTGGCAGTTGGAATTCGATATAAGAGTAGGCGATAGTGCCGCTGCCCGGGCAAAATTCCCTTCATAGTACACTGTATGGCGTATGCCCGTCTTCATTACCCCAGTATAGGAGCAGAACAGTAGGACGTTAAACCCCATTTCATTTTATTATACAAATTAAAAGTCATTTAGAAGATAATGAAGACGAGCTTACAGAAGTATTTGCATCTATTCTTGCTAAAATTCCATCTAGTGACTGTCGAGTGTTATTTTCCGGGCGGGGGCCCATCATTATTAGCTCAGTCGATTCGAAACAGTATGACTTTAAGCCCTATTTCATTTTATTGGTGGACCTCGATTATTTGTTCCATCCGAGCACCTCCGTTTCCTGGCGAGGCCCCGGCGCTACTGACAAGTAGAAACTAGGGTTAACAATTTCAAGGAGCCGGACCCCCCCCCCCTCCACAAAAAACAAGTTAGTTTGCATGCGCCGTACTGATTGGGTCGACGTAGTCTTGTGATTCAAATGCATTCTTTGTTTTAATAGTTTTAATCAAAATTAGGCTGATAATATGGAAGAAATGTATTTGAACGTCTCGCCGAAACATTAAGACTAATGTACGGCTGATTTTATTGACTAATGGCAATGATTGTTTACAGCAATCTGTATCGGTCCATTTTCGTCAAGAAATATTCAGAAAATGGCGTATTTAAATATGTAAACTTTCATTGATAATTTGTAGCAATATCCAATTCGAATCTCGATAATATATTTTCCTCTCTCCTATAATACTACACCAGGTTCAAATCTCCCCGACTCCCATTAGAATTCGACGGTTGTCCTAATTTCTGTACATTGCACAAATCAACCATATGTTGGTGTTATAATGACGTAAGTGTTTTAATGACGCCATTTCATTACACTCTTATCACAGCCACAGAATACACAGTACGTCAGGTTGTAGTCAGGTTGATTCATTGTGCATGAGGGTGGGTCACCAACGTCTATTCGTTCCAAGGAGTCTAAACGAATGTTAATGATTGCAAATCCCACATAACAATATGATGTTAAATTTACGTTACGTTTACGTAAAAATGGTCAGTCAGTTTACCATCATTTTGCTCATCTTTTTAACGATAATTTTACGTCAGGAAATGACGTTAATCTAACGTAAAGTTTACGTCATTTTTACGTTACATTTACGTCATTTTCTGACGTAAATCTAACGTAAAGTTTACGTCATTTTCTGACGTAAATCTAACGTAAATTTTGCGTAAAGTTTACGTCACTTATGTTAGATTTACGCCAGAAAATGACGTAAACTTTACGTTAGATTTACGTCAGAAAATGACGTAAATATGACGTAAAAATGACGTAAACTCTACATTAGATTAACGTCATTTCCTGACGTTAAATTTTCGTTAAAAGGATGAGCAAAATGATGGAAATCTAACCGACCATTTTAACGTAAATCTAACATTAAATAAACATCATTTTCGGATGCAATTCTAATGTCAAATGAGCAATTAAAACCTTTAATATAATCTATTATTGGTGGTTGTAATTGTAAAATTCAGTCAACCAATAACCAAATCTTCTTTAACCATATGAGGTGCTAAAGACTCCTGGCGCAAACAATTATTGAACTGAAACTGAATCGTAGGCCCCATTTCTCTCTATCTATTTCGTCCTCGAGGTTTCGGTGGTCAAACGGTTAACGCATGTTCGTTGCATCATAAGTTCCGTCATTGAATTAAGAGAGAAATCGGGTTTAACGTCCACTCAACACAAATAAGGTCATTTCGGGACTAACACATGGTTCAATTTTTTATTTCAATAATTCGCTTGCGCGTAGGGGCCTTTAGCAGTGGGAGTAAACCGGAGGACCCGGAGAAAACCCACGAGGTTGGACAGGCGACCCTACTCCTTGTCACATATTGAAATAAAACTAAACCACATGTTAGTCCCAAAATGACCTAGTGTGATTCGAGTGGAAGTTAATCCCCATTTCTCTCTATACATGTATTTATCAATAACCATTCAGAATTCTAAATGTAATTGCAACCAAACGCCAAAAAACCAGTACAACTTACATAATTATTCAACAAAATATACTACAAGTATCTATACTTTATTCAAAAAATACATATATAATGTAATAAAATACAAAAGTAGACATTTAAATTGTAACAGTTTATCCACAGCATTAAGTTGGTGACAATTTAGGAAATGGTCTTCGAGAAAAACTTTGAAAATGTGGAAATACGCCAACACATTCAGCAGTATATCAGAAAGGAAAACTGTGACGTTGACCAAATTTGATAAAAAAAAAACAAAAAAAACCCCTACGGCCTCTATCACGTTTGCTAAAGGTTTTCGAACTAGGTGGGATAATACTGGAAAGGAAATTTGTGGAATACTGAATATCTATGCTTCACACCAACTTTGAAACAAATGTGAATAAATTATAGGGCAGTGTTCACAGGTTTTGCAGCCAATCTGCGGGGGTGGGGACAAAATTTGAAAAAGATACATTAACGATACTTTCTGTAAGATTTAGATAAAGAGCTGACCATTCTTGCTATGATTGTTCAAAAATAAATAATATACATGTAAAATGAAAATTTCATTCAAATTACTTCATTCTGAGCCAAGTTATCACAGTTTCTAGTTTCGACATGATGTGTGCATTGTGGTAATGAGGGCACAGGTATATTCGAGACTTGGCCTCACTTTCCCATTTTTTAATTAAATTTTTAAATTGCAGGCCAGTTAAAATCTTGAGTATCCAATGCCTTCATATTGCATACTTTTACACATTTTGTCAGGCAGTTTCATTTTGATTTTCCCTAAATTCGAATTCAACCTTGATTATGCGATTTGTCGAACAATCAGGAGCCATAATCGAGGAAGTTACGTTCAGATATGCGCGATTATGAAAAGGAACCAAGATCTTAGTGTGTAATGGTTATATATATACACATGGTTTTTTTTTATAAATCGAATAAAAATTGTGACCTCTATAGGGACCACAAGCTAAAAACGGATGGACGTCTGGACTGACAGGGGCTACGACAATATACGTCCACATGAAAATGTGGGCGTATAAAAATTGTGACCTCTATAGGGACCACAAGCTAAAAACGGATGGACGTCCAGACGGACAAGGGCTACGACAATATACGTCCACATGAAAATGTGGGCGTATAAAAATTGTGACCTCTATAGGGTCCACAAGCTAAAAACTTGATTTTTCGTACAATCAGGGACCATAATCCAAGAAGTTACGGTCAGATACATGCCAATATCGAAAGCAACCAAGATCTTTTGGAGATAAACCTATATTTCAAGTTTCGTCAAAATCGGATAAGAATTGTGACCTGTAGAGTGTCCACAAACAATTGTGTACAGACGTCCGGACGGACCGGGGCTACCACAATATACGTCCACATGAAAATGTGGGCATATAAAAATTTTGACCTCTATAGGGTCCACAAGCTAAAAACATGACTTTCAGTACAATCAGGGGCCATAATCCATGAAGTTACGGTCCCACAAACAATTGTGGACGGACCGATGGACGTTCGGACGGACAGGGGCTACAAAAATATACGTCTACATGAAAATGTTAGCGTATAAAAAAACTGTCACCTTCACAAACTAATTTGGACAAACAAACAGTCAGGGCAACGATATAATACCCCAATATTGAAATAAGGTATATACTTAATTACACCAATATTACATGTGTGATAGAATTTGTTAAACACATTACAAATATAATTTTAACACAGATTTTTGCTATTATTGATCTATCACAAAAATTTGAAGAATTTGTAAGGGTTTAAAAAGTTTCCCCGTATACTATGGCGGTATATTAGATTCAAAATTCTAACATGCTATCGTCTAATTTCTTACTTCTACTCTTGTAATTTCTAACTTCCATTCATGTAATTTCTAAATTAAGACAATGTATAATTCAACTTCTTTTTTTGTTCAGTGTAAATTTTAATTGTTTCATCTTATTTCTATTATTAAGGCGAAAAATGTCTAGTCACTTTACATGTTAAGCATGAATGGTAAACAAATTTAGAATTTTGATTTCTACCTAGCAACCATCATTATGACGTCGTTTGGTGTCGCCACCGTTCGCTCAATTTGGCGATTGAGCACCTGATCGGGACCATTCTGTTGATACAAACGACTCGCTCTTAGTCCAGTTGAATGGTTTGGTGGAGTGCTAAAATTGAAAACAACTTCGAGAGAGAGAGTCTGATGGGGTTAAACGTCCACTCAACACAAACTACATGTAGGTTCGGTATTAACATGGTTCAATTTTATTTCAATTATTCGCTTGCGCGTAGGGGTGTTTAGCAATGGGAGGAAACCGAAGGACCCGGAGAAAACCCACTAGGTTGGACAGGCGACCCTATTCCTTGTCACGTACAACCGGGGAATCGAAACCACACCAGTTGACTCAATGACATACCTTATGGTACAGCGCGCACGTGCTAACCTTTCGGCCATCCAACCCCACAAACAACATTGAACGTGATATCTATGTATGGTTTGCAAATACGATTTCAAATACGGTCGGTAAGACGCTGGCTCACTAGCCTAGCGGTAGGGTGTTCGATCCCTGCATTGGTCAAGAAAGTTCATCCAGATTTTCCGGCATGGTTCCTCCTTGTCAGTGATGCAGGATGGAGGGCCTAACAAGTACAGCTGTCTAATCGTTTCGTAGTGCCGCTGTC